GAACAGGCAAATCGGAAAAAAACCTATAAAAACACAACACCAAACACCGCTAAGAAGCCACTAACCTGTCACTGGAAATTGAAGAAATAGGTTTGGTCGGACTTCGTTTAAAATCAGTTCTGAATTGAACTGCGCTTGCGCATTTATTCATATCGAACATATGTAAACCAATGCGCAAATGCAGTTCAATTTAGAACTGATTTTGAACTAAATCTGAACAAACCAATAAATGTAAATTAATAAAAAAGTGAGGTCAATATTTGAATAAGCCTTGACAGACGTCAACTTAAAAAAAAGAAGAGACATAGGAACGTGACTGTGCCTGTTTATGGCCTGTTTTTATTTTCCACAAATAGTGGAAGGCACAAACTTTATTAGTGGCGGCACTAAAAATTAACAGTACTGCCACAACGCGCACGTCTCAAAAACGTCAAAATATTGCCTAGCGCTATTAATGCCTGGCATTTTATACTCTTCAATAATTCCCTAATGATTTGGAATTTCCTCTAATTTGTACTGAAATTATCGATGGTGTACTGACGTACTAAATTACACTGGAGTGTACTGAATCTAGTACAAATGTACTAAAAACGGCATCACTGAATAGAGTGCATGTGGACGTAATTGTTCATGTAAAAATTTGGGCATTAGGTATTACCCAAAGTGTGGCCATTGCTATGGAATTACTTGGGCCAATACTACTAATTTCTCTTGGCCGATTTAGTGAAGAAAAAAAAAATCCCGACAGCCGTTAAGGTCTATGGTTTCCCATAATATCGTACCTGGCCGACCTTAGTGGGCACACCTGGTATAAAAAAATTTAAAAGCATTGACAATTTTACATTGTATTGCCAACATGATGTCATTTTGACTTTTATCTTTAAAAAAAAAAAACGCATTTTAACCCCAACTGCATATTGCCTGTACTATTTAAATTGTTCCTTTGACAGGGGAGATTTTCCTGATAGCCTGAAAATATCCAAAATACCTAAATCCATTTCACAAGGAAAAAAATGGACTTGGTACCACTGACTAAAGACCGATCTCTTTGTTGTCCACATTGTCAAAAATTATGGAAAAACTGGTCAAAAACCGTATGACCTCCTTTGCGAAAGCCAATAGCAATCGGGGAAAATCAGTTTGGGTTTCAAGAGAAGAAAAACACTGCAAATGCCATGCATAATACAATAAACACGAGTATCAGAGAGCGACGCGAAAACAAAGCGTTTGTTGCAGTGTTTGTTGACTCACAAAAAACTTGATTGTGTGGTCCATGTGCTTGTTAGCCAAGCTAGACAAATATGGCTACAGGGAGAAGATAAACCAATGGATTCGTTAATTTCTGGGACAGCGAAAGCAGATTGTTTCGTATCAATTTGGAGAATGTTATGGACTCGAGGACTGAAGAATTAAACATTGGCGTTGTACAGAGATCACTTCTGTTTCTTCTGTTCATAAACGACCTCCATTCATTGCCTATTGAGGATCACATAACGTTATTTTCAAACGATACCCCATCATTTAAGTTGATGCGAATCCTAAAGAGCTTAGGAATATAAAAGGGGATATGCTACTGCTATAGAACTGGCACACTTATGGATTTTGGTTGAACGCGGAATTTACCCAAATTTTGTATGTTGTATATTTCGACCTCCTGAGTAAAAACCGGTCCTATGACTAGGTTTTCTAATACTACCTTAGGCAACCTGAAACTACTGAATTTTCATACTTTTGAGTTTATTTATGGTAGGTAGCCTTGAAAAATGTCGATTAAGTGTAGACCTTTTACAGAAAGGTGCATGTTTTAAGTTGAGGCCTATATATGTACTATGTACGCTGGGTATTTTCAAAAGTAAATACTTGTTTGATGGATCTTTGTAATAAAATAGGTACCTACGTCATAGTATTTCATAACCAGACTTCCTGATAGTTTTGAAATAAATGTGATCAAGTGTTGAACATATTATGAAAGCATACATACCTATTTGCATTCACTTACCTATTTATGTCGAGGGAGTCTTAAATAGCAGATATATTTTTTTCTATCTTTTATAATTAAACTTAACATTAGATGCCTATATTTATTAGGCCTTTCGATCTCATTAAACCAACGTCGGTAGGGCGCTTTACAGCCAATCTACGGACTCCGGCATCTTCCCCGGAATAAAACAGTAAGATTCACTCTTAGTCCTTTTAATACCAATACACTAGGCCAAGGATGGTGTCATGGTAAAAAGTTTTTAGCACGAGCGTATCGAGAAATGTTATTCATTGAGAGATAGAAAGTTACTTTTATCACAAAATGTAGATACCTACAAGCAGGGTTGGAAAAAATCATGATTTTTTTGAAAAAATCAAAAAAATCAGATTTTTTTGATTTAAATCGGATTTTTTTGATTTTTTTTGAATTAAATGGCTTTATTAATTTTTGATCAATTATTGGTAATTTTGTTTCAACATATGAATGATGCAGTAAATATAGTATACACTACTCCGTAGACAAAATTATCGCACCACTTGTACATAAGCACCACAAAAGCAATGGTATGATAATTTTGTCCACGAGTATATAATAAGAGTAGGCATATAGAGTATAATAAAAATAAAAATTTATTAATGTTTATTAATAAATAAATAGTTTCAACAAACAAAACAGTAAATAAACGGCAATTTCTGAAAACAAAAATAACAAAACATAAATAAAAAATATTCGATAGGTAGAGGTGTAGATAAGGTACCTTACCTATCTATTACCCTGCCCCTTAAACTTAGTAGAGAGAACAAAAAAAATAAGTCAAAATAAAGTGAATAATTCTTTTGTAAAAAATGAAAATAATACTACTTATATAAAAAAAAATAATAAATAAATATATTTTCAATTTCTGAAAATCGATTTAAATCATTGATTTTTTTCAAAAAAATCACTTGATTTAAATCATGATTTAAATCGTGATTTAAATCATTTGATTTAAATCATGCCAACCCTGCCTACAAGTATACAATTATTCACACTTTTGAACATTCGTGGTCAATAACTCATTTACCTTATAGACTAAGAGGCCCGCATCAGGTACATGGCTAATTTATATTGAAAATAATAGTATCAGTGTAGGCGCATATAAATATGAATGTCTGCCATTGCAAAAACTGGGGCGCGAAGGGGAGGTACGCAGTGAAATGGGTAAATTTTGGGTGGAAAAAAATTCATAAGGTACAGGGATTCTATTTACGGGAAAAGTTTGGTTTCATATTTGAGAAAGTGTAAAAAAATTGGCAGACACTTTGCGAGGGGTTAACTCGCCGGCAGACCGCGCTAAAGAATACAAAAATTAATTTAAAAAAAGTCATAAGGTACATGAATTCCAATTATTGTATTTCAAAGTTTAAACATTGAAAAAGCCATTCACAAAATGGCAGACAAAAAAATGAGGGCTAAGGCCGTGGCAGACGACGTTAAAAAGTGAGCTACACATCAAAATTTTTAATCACATTCGCAATTGGCATCCGATTCGGACGTAATATCTCCTTCGCTATCGCCATATTCTTCTTCGTTTGATTCGCTTTCTGCATTAAGGCCTTCATCGCCTGTAACAAAGCACAAAGCAAAGTAATTTTTAGACATTTAATAGAAAAGAAAAGTTATATGTTCTGTGGAAAAATATATTATCTTCGTTTGTTCCAGTATCAATAATATCTTGTCTTGTACTAGGCAGCTACCGGTGTGAAGTTAGCAGCCTTTTTGCAGCAGCCAAAATTGTGAAGTTAGCAGCCATTTTTTGGCAGCTCTTTTTTTTTAAATGGTTGATTTACAAACTTTGTGTACATTATTATTATATACCCTCGGGCAAAGTACAACAGAAAAACAAAACAAAAACTACCCCTAATAAAACATCAAGTAGAACATTAATATCTACAAAACAACTTTTTTTAAATAAAATGTGACACCATGAAATTTAGAATAGTCTTTAACATAGCCCTCAAGTACGTCTAATTCGAAGAACAACCCCTTATTGCCGTCAGGCTGGGATCAACCCTTATTATTAAAATAATTGGAAAAGCACATTTCGGAAAAATGTAACACCATCAAACGCAGTGAAACGATCATCAGAACCATTTCGAACATTCCCACCAAAGGACAACCCCTTACCTGCCGTCAGAGTGTGTTAAAAACTACCCTTAGTAAGAAAATGATAGAAAAAAAATGGAAAAACACATTTCGAGAAACTGTAACGCTGTGAAACTTGATTGGGACGATAACTAGAACCATTTCGAACATTCCCACCAAAGGACAACCCCTTACCTGCCGTCAGAGTGTGTTAAAAACTACCCTTAGTACGAAAATAATAGAAAAAAATTGGGAAAAACGCATTTCGAGAAACTGTTACGCTCTGAAACTTGATTGCGACGATAACTAGAACCATTTCGAACATTCCCACCAAAGGACAACCCCTTACCTGCCGTCGGAGTGTCTTAAAAACTACCCTTAGTACGAAAATAATAGAAAAAAATTGGAAAAACACATTTCGAGAATCTGTAACGCTCTGAAACTTGAATGGGACGATAACTAGAACCATTTCAAACATTCCCTCCAAAGGACAACCCCTTACCTGCCGTCAGAGTGTGTTAAAAACTACCCTTAGTAAGAAAATGATAGAAAAAAAATGGAAAAACACATTTCGAGAAACTGTAACGCTCTGAAACTTGATTGGGACGATAACTAGAACCATTTTGAACATTCCCACCAAAGGACAACCCCTTACCTGCCGTCAGAGTGTGTTAAAAACTACCCTTAGTACGAAAATAATAGAAAAAAATTGGAAAAACGCATTTCGAGAAACTGTTACGCTCTGAAACTTGATTGCGACGATAACTAGAACCATTTCGAACATTCCCACCAAAGGACAACCTCTTACCTGCCGTCGGAGTGTCTTAAAAACTACCCTTAGTACGAAAATAATAGAAAAAAATTGGAAAAACACATTTCGAGAATCTGTAACGCTCTGAAACTTGAATGGGACGATAACTAGAACCATTTCAAACATTCCCTCCAAAGGACAACCCCTTACCTGCCGTCAGAGTGTGTTAAAAACTACCCTTAGTAAGAAAATGATAGAAAAAAAATGGAAAACACATTTCGAGAAACTGTAACGCTCTGAAACTTGATTGGGACGATAACTAGAACCATTTTGAACATTCCCACCAAAGGACAACCCCTTACCTGCCGTCAGAGTGTGTTAAAAACTACCCTTAGTACGAAAATAATAGAAAAAAATTGGAAAAAACGCATTTCGAGAAACTGTTACGCTCTGAAACTTGATTGCGACGATAACTAGAACCATTTCGAACATTCCCACCAAAGGACAACCCCTTACCTGCCGTCGGAGTGTCTTAAAAACTACCCTTAGTACGAAAATAATAGAAAAAAATTGGAAAAACACATTTCGAGAATCTGTAACGCTCTGAAACTTGAATGGGACGATAACTAGAACCATTTCAAACATTCCCTCCAAAGGACAACCCCTTACCTGCCGTCAGAGTGTGTTAAAAACTACCCTTAGTAAGAAAATGATAGAAAAAAAATGGAAAAACGCATTTCGAGAAACTGTAACGCTCTGAAGCTTGATTGGGGACGATAACTAGAACCGTTTCAAACATTCCCACCAAAGGACAACCCCTTACCTGCCGTCGGAGTGTCTTAAAAACTACCCTTAGTACGAAAATAATAGAAAAAAATTGGAAAAACACATTTCGAGAATCTGTAACGCTCTGAAACTTGAATGGGACGATAACTAGAACCATTTCAAACATTCCCTCCAAAGGACAACCCCTTACCTGCCGTCAGAGTGTGTTAAAAACTACCCTTAGTAAGAAAATGATAGAAAAAAAATGGAAAAACACATTTCGAGAAACTGTAACGCTCTGAAACTTGATTGGGACGATAACTAGAACCATTTTGAACATTCCCACCAAAGGACAACCCCTTACCTGCCGTCAGAGTGTGTTAAAAACTACCCTTAGTACGAAAATAATAGAAAAAAATTGGAAAAACGCATTTCGAGAAACTGTTACGCTCTGAAACTTGATTGCGACGATAACTAGAACCATTTCGAACATTCCCACCAAAGGACAACCCCTTACCTGCCGTCGGAGTGTCTTAAAAAACTACCCTTAGTACGAAAATAATAGAAAAAAATTGGAAAAACACATTTCGAGAATCTGTAACGCTCTGAAACTTGAATGGGACGATAACTAGAACCATTTCAAACATTCCCTCCAAAGGACAACCCCTTACCTGCCGTCAGAGTGTGTTAAAAACTACCCTTAGTACAGAAAATGATAGAAAAAAAAATGGAAAAACACATTTCGAGAAACTGTAACGCTCTGAAACTTGATTGGGACGATAACTAGAACTATTTTGAACATTCCCACCAAAGGACAACCCCTTACCTGCCGTCAGAGTGTGTTAAAAACTACCCTTAGTACGAAAATAATAGAAAAAAATTGGAAAAACGCATTTCGAGAAACTGTTACGCTCTGAAACTTGATTGCGACGATAACTAGAACCATTTCGAACATTCCCACCAAAGGACAACCTCTTACCTGCCGTCGGAGTGTCTTAAAAACTACCCTTAGTACGAAAATAATAGAAAAAAATTGGAAAAACACATTTCGAGAATCTGTAACGCTCTGAAACTTGAATGGGACGATAACTAGAACCATTTCAAACATTCCCTCCAAAGGACAACCCCTTACCTGCCGTCAGAGTGTGTTAAAAACTACCCTTAGTAAGAAAATGATAGAAAAAAAATGGAAAAACACATTTCGAGAAACTGTAACGCTCTGAAACTTGATTGGGACGATAACTAGAACCATTTTGAACATTCCCACCAAAGGACAACCCCTTACCTGCCGTCAGAGTGTGTTAAAAACTACCCTTAGTACGAAAATAATAGAAAAAAATTGGAAAAACGCATTTCGAGAAACTGTTACGCTCTGAAACTTGATTGCGACGATAACTAGAACCATTTCGAACATTCCCACCAAAGGACAACCCCTTACCTGCCGTCGGAGTGTCTTAAAAACTACCCTTAGTACGAAAAATAATAGAAAAAAAATTGGAAAAACACATTTCGAGAATCTGTAACGCTCTGAAACTTGAATGGGACGATAACTAGAACCATTTCAAACATTCCCTCCAAAGGACAACCCCTTACCTGCCGTCAGAGTGTGTTAAAAATTACCCTTAGTAAGAAAATGATAGAAAAAAAATGGAAAAACACATTTCGAGAAACTGTAACGCTCTGAAACTTGATTGGGACGATAACTAGAACCATTTTGAACATTCCCACCAAAGGACAACCCCTTACCTGCCGTCGGAGTGTGTTAAAAACTACCCTTAGTACGAAAATAATAGAAAAAAATTGGAAAAACACATTTCGAGAATCTGTAACGCTCTGAAACTTGAATGGGACGATAACTAGAACCATTTCAAACATTCCCTCCAAAGGACAACCCCTTACCTGCCGTCAGAGTGTGTTAAAAACTACCCTTAGTAAGAAAATGATAGAAAAAAATTGGAAAAACGCATTTCGAGAAACTGTAACGCTCTGAAGCTTGATTGGGACGATAACTAGAACCGTTTCAAACATTCCCACCAAAGGACAACCCCTTACCTGCCGTCGGAGTGTCTTAAAAACTACCCTTAGTACGAAAATAATAGAAAAAAATTGGAAAAACACATTTCGAGAATCTGTAACGCTCTGAAACTTGAATGGGACGATAACTAGAACCATTTCAAACATTCCCTCCAAAGGACAACCCCTTACCTGCCGTCAGAGTGTGTTAAAAACTACCCTTAGTAAGAAAATGATAGAAAAAAAATGGAAAAACACATTTCGAGAAACTGTAACGCTCTGAAACTTGATTGGGACGATAACTAGAACCATTTTGAACATTCCCACCAAAGGACAACCCCTTACCTGCCGTCAGAGTGTGTTAAAAACTACCCTTAGTACGAAAATAATAGAAAAAAATTGGAAAAACGCATTTCGAGAAACTGTTACGCTCTGAAACTTGATTGCGACGATAACTAGAACCATTTCGAACATTCCCACCAAAGGACAACCCCTTACCTGCCGTCGGAGTGTCTTAAAAACTACCCTTAGTACGAAAATAATAGAAAAAAATTGGAAAAACACATTTCGAGAATCTGTAACGCTCTGAAACTTGAATGGGACGATAACTAGAACCATTTCAAACATTCCCTCCAAAGGACAACCCCTTACCTGCCGTCAGAGTGTGTTAAAAACTACCCTTAGTAAGAAAATGATAGAAAAAAAATGGAAAAAACACATTTCGAGAAACTGTAACGCTCTGAAACTTGATTGGGACGATAACTAGAACCATTTTGAACATTCCCACCAAAGGACAACCCCTTACCTGCCGTCAGAGTGTGTTAAAAACTACCCTTAGTACGAAAATAATAGAAAAAAATTGGAAAAACGCATTTCGAGAAACTGTTACGCTCTGAAACTTGATTGCGACGATAACTAGAACCATTTCGAACATTCCCACCAAAGGACAACCCCTTACCTGCCGTCGGAGTGTCTTAAAAACTACCCTTAGTACGAAAATAATAGAAAAAAATTGGAAAAACACATTTCGAGAATCTGTAACGCTCTGATGAAACTTGAATGGGACGATAACTAGAACCATTTCAAACATTCCCTCCAAAGGACAACCCCTTACCTGCCGTCAGAGTGTGTTAAAAACTACCCTTAGTAAGAAAATGATAGAAAAAAAATGGAAAAACACATTTCGAGAAACTGTAACGCTCTGAAACTTGATTGGGACGATAACTAGAACCATTTTGAACATTCCCACCAAAGGACAACCCCTTACCTGCCGTCAGAGTGTGTTAAAAACTACCCTTAGTACGAAAATAATAGAAAAAAAATTGGAAAAACGCATTTCGAGAAACTGTTACGCTCTGAAACTTGATTGCGACGATAACTAGAACCATTTCGAACATTCCCACCAAAGGACAACCCCTTACCTGCCGTCGGAGTGTCTTAAAAACTACCCTTAGTACGAAAATAATAGAAAAAAATTGGAAAAACACATTTCGAGAATCTGTAACGCTCTGAAACTTGAATGGGACGATAACTAGAACCATTTCAAACATTCCCTCCAAAGGACAACCCCTTACCTGCCGTCAGAGTGTGTTAAAAACTACCCTTAGTAAGAAAATGATAGAAAAAAAAATGGAAAACACATTTCGAGAAACTGTAACGCTCTGAAACTTGATTGGGACGATAACTAGAACCATTTTGAACATTCCCACCAAAGGACAACCCCTTACCTGCCGTCAGAGTGTGTTAAAAACTACCCTTAGTACGAAAATAATAGAAAAAAATTGGAAAAACGCATTTCGAGAAACTGTTACGCTCTGAAACTTGATTGCGACGATAACTAGAACCATTTCGAACATTCCCACCAAAGGACAACCCCTTACCTGCCGTCGGAGTGTCTTAAAAACTACCCTTAGTACGAAAATAATAGAAAAAAATTGGAAAAACACATTTCGAGAATCTGTAACGCTCTGAAACTTGAATGGGACGATAACTAGAACCATTTCAAACATTCCCTCCAAAGGACAACCCCTTACCTGCCGTCAGAGTGTGTTAAAAATTACCCTTAGTAAGAAAATGATAGAAAAAAAATGGAAAAACACATTTCGAGAAACTGTAACGCTCTGAAACTTGATTGGGACGATAACTAGAACCATTTTGAACATTCCCACCAAAGGACAACCCCTTACCTGCCGTCGGAGTGTGTTAAAAACTACCCTTAGTACGAAAATAATAGAAAAAAATTGGAAAAACACATTTCGAGAATCTGTAACGCTCTGAAACTTGAATGGGACGATAACTAGAACCATTTCAAACATTCCCTCCAAAGGACAACCCCTTACCTGCCGTCAGAGTGTGTTAAAAACTACCCTTAGTAAGAAAATGATAGAAAAAAAATGGAAAAAACGCATTTCGAGAAAGCGTA